GAGTGTGCGATCAGGGGGTGTGGTGAAGAAAAAGAAGCTCATCTGGTGTGTTTGATTATCAAAAAGAAGGGGGATGGGATGGGTGGGGTGGTTCGTCTGGTGCACAGAACGAGAAGAAGAGGCCTAGGTTTATCTTAGCGAATCTGGGTCGAGTGATGAGTTGTTAGAGCCTCTTCGGAGGAAAGTAACCGATAGGTTTCGGAATGGCTCTGTTGATTGCAGAAAGAATGTAGTGGAAAATAGAGAATTTGGCAGGAATGGTGAATTCGGGAGTGAAGAGAGAAATATGAGTAGATTGGATTTATTTGAATTCAACGAATATGATGAATTCGATGGCCAGAAGATGAGGAATGATTATATGGTTGGACGTGATGAGAATCCAGTGAATTTGGAAGTGGGTCCAGTAGAAACGTAATGGTTGAGAAGAGGAAACATTCTTACTTTGATGGTACAAGTAGTATGATGGGCGGGAGGAATAAAGGGGTCAATTATATGGCTAAGAGCAGGATTGAGATGCTGGAGGATGAAGCTCATATGCCCATTTCATCTTTTAGAGAGAAGCGGGAAGCATCGGATAAGCCTATAAGGTTGCAGGGGAAAAATGGTGTGTTGAAGGTAATGGTTAATAAAAAGAAGAAGATGGGTTTGTCTCATAATAGCTACGATCATCACAAATTTGAGAATAGAAACATTTCTAGTTCCGAAGATGCTATTAGAAAGAATGCTTTGGTACGATCTTCATTGTTTCCAGATTCAAAACATCAAAAATCAGATCCATTGACCAAGAAAGAGAAAAGTAAGCTGAAATTGCGGAAATCATCACCAACTAAGAGCAGGAAGGGCAGAGATTTGGCAACAGATAATGGTGACACTCCACTGAAGCGGGGACCTCCAGATGTGAAAGCTTGTGATTCAACAAAAGGGTAAAAAATGAAGGAAAAAGAGCTCCACCAACTGAAAATGTCACTAAAGTTGGCAGTAAAGAAGGAAAAAATTCCACATGGTACTGGCACAGACAAACAAGTACTACGTGAGCAGATAAGAAATATGCTTGTCAATGCTGGCTGGACGATTGATTATAGGCCAAGAAGAAACAGAGACTATCTAGATGCAGTTTACATTAACCCCAGTGGGACAGCATATTGGTCGATCATTAAGGCTTATGATGCGCTTCAAAAGCAGTTGGAGGAAGAAGGTGATAATACCAAACTTGGCTGGAAAGTATCAGATGACTTGCTCAATAAATTAACGAGACAAACCCGAAAGAAGATGGAGAAGGAAATGAAGAAGAAGAGAAGAGATGATGGTCGGAGAAAGAATGCAAAGGAAGCTGCTCGGAAAAAGCCTACGGAGGGCATGGACAGCGATCAGCATGAAGAGACACTTAGTGTTTATATGAAGCAGAATGGCAAGTCATTGAAAGGCAGATTGCAGGAAGCAGATCATATGTGTGGGGATGATTTGAATGATAATCTTTACAAAACAACATTCCAGCAAAACAGGGCTGAAAAACCATCTACTTCAACTGATTCTCATACGATTCAACAGAGAAAAAGCAGAATATTAGGCAGATGCACTTTGTTGGTTCGCAGTTCTGACAAGGGACAAAATCCTGAAACTGAAGGTTATGTTCCATATACTGGAAAGCGAACCTTATTGTCCTGGTTGATTGACTCTGGAACAGCAAAATTGAGTGAAAAAGTGCAGTATATGAACCGCAGACAAACAAAAGTAATGCTGGAGGGATGGATCACAAGAGATGGCATCCACTGTGGTTGCTGTAGTAAAATCCTTACGGTTTCGAAGTTCGAGATTCATGCTGGTACCAAAAAGGGTCAGCCATACCAGAACATAATTTTGGAGTCCGGGACTTCCCTGTTGCAGTGTCAGATAGATGCATGGAATAGACAGGAGGATTCCGAACGCCAAGGTTGTCACTTTGTAGATGTTGATGGTGATGATCCAGATGACGATACTTGTGGCATTTGTGGTGATGGTGGGGATTTGATCTGTTGTGATGGTTGTCCATCAACATTTCATCAGAGTTGTCTAGATATACAGGTACATTTAAGATAGAAATGGAAATTGCTTTCGTGCTTTATTTGCTTGGATATGCTCTTATAGGCAATTATTTGGTATAGGATATGCATGCCTACATACGTAAATATATATCTGTGCAAAATAAATGGGTCATTTGGCCTGCCAATTTTAATGTTATTGCTGGAATGGACCATGGATAAAAACACAGATTTTGAAGCAACTTTGCAGAGTGGATAGAGTTTTTGACTTTTTGTTTATTCGGGTCATTGCCATTGTGTTTGGAAAGAGACTGGATTTCGTGATGCAGGAGAAAGAACGCTACTATGATGTGTGATTATCCATTGACAAGAAAACCATTATTTTACATCTTGCATGTTTGACCAATGATGTATCTGAGGATGTCCATGGTGTTTGCAAGTGTTTAAATTCCCATATTATGGTAGAAAGTTTGAATGAGACGAAAACTTATGTCTCATGTTTATCTAAGGTTCCTTTTGCTGAAAAGTACAGATAAAGTCAAACCCTTGCCTGACCTTATTGCTTAGCCCAACAGAGGGTATTCAAATTTAAGACTTGAAGCAATTTGGTACTTACGGCCTTGCGCGGGACTTAAGCAGGATGATGCTATCGAGGTCCCAAACTAGTTTGGTTCAATGGTGGATTTAAGATCTAATACCTTGCTTGGGTTATGTAAAAGCTTTTACTGAAACTTTTGGCTTTGAAGTTAGTTTGTTGAGTATATTTCTGCTATAGAGCTTAGGGCTCAAACTTGTTGGCTTAGGAGAGAAACCATATCAAATGAAGTAATTGTTGTGTTTTATTGAACTGTAGCATTTTGTGCTTTGGCTGCATTTTACATTAATTTATGACTAAGCAGTTGGGGCACTTGCTTCTCTCCTTTTGTTGCAGATGCTTCCCCCTGGTGATTGGCACTGTCCAAATTGTACATGCAAATTTTGTGAGACTGCTGGTGGGAGTGAGCCTGAAGAAAGTAATAGAACTGTCGGGTCACTTCTCACATGCGGCCTTTGTGAGAAAAAATGTAATTGCCTTTCCTACTTTTGTCTTGGAGTTTCTTTTGTGTGTTCTTTTTCTCTGTTTTTAATTCGTGGATTTTGCTAATATTTAACCTCTTGCCTTTGCTAGATCACGAATTTTGCTGTCAGAAGAGGGATTCTCTACCTGCTGATCCCAATAACGCATCCACTTCCTTTTGTAGCAAGAAGTGCCAAGAGGTATTCACCTTTTTTTTTTTTGAAAAAAAATGGGATAGTGCCAAGATGTTTAATCTTTCTCCAGGTTGTCTTTTTTCATTTCTAACCAGTTAGAAATTCCAGCACTTATGACCCAGCGGAGTGAGATAACGCCCCCCCCCCCCCCCCCACCCACCTGAATTCCAGTTACACTGCCCTTAAGACAGTTTTATGCTAAGATTCGGAATGATCTCTGCACATTTGGGTGTACAAAAACAAAAAAAAAAAAAGGAATGTATCCTTGTTTCCAGATGGAAACAACTTGTGTCATCAGAAAATGGAGGGTGAGAAACTATATGTTGTATCTCATCTAATCTCAAATGATCAGCGGAAAGATTCAGATCGAACACAAGAATTTTCTCTGGTTTATTGGAAATCAAATCATCTCTACTTGATTTCTTTTCAATATTTGACTTGGCATTCTTCCGTTGGATGCCTATTGTCTGTCTCTCATATGACATTTTTGCCTTACATTTTTGTTGGAGGGCATCAAATTAATCCAATTTTGTGTGCTCTTGCAGCTGTTTGACCGTTTGCAGAATCTTCTTGGGATCAAACAGGAATTGGAAGCAGGATTCTCATGGTCTCTCATTCATCGAACAGATCTAGACTTTGATGCATCGCACCGTGCATTTCCTCAACGTGTGGAATGCAATTCTAAGCTTGCTGTTGCACTGTCTGTCATGGATGAGTGTTTTTTGCCAATTGTTGACAGGAGGAGTGGGATCAATTTGATTCATAGTGTTCTCTATAATTGTGGGTAAGCAGTTATTGGCTATATTTGTTGGGAACTATGCACAATTGTGTCCACATCTCTCTTTTTGCAGTGTAGGATTTGGTACCTGTCACCTATTTTCTCAAACTAGTTTATTTGCTTGAGGTGGTTATATGAGACATCCATGAGTTACTCATTCTTTTCTCTTTTTCCTTTTTTATATCGATAAGTCCATTAATTAAAAGCTGCCATTGTGATGTTCATGCATAAAGTTTCTTAGGCATTCTTGTGGCCATTAGACGCATAAACCCAAGTGGCTTTTCTGATCTTGCATACATTAAAGGCATTATAGGTAGTCACAATCTTGTACAAACTACAAACTATTAACAATAATATGTAGTGGATGCAACATTCCAAAGGTTACTAATTATTCGTCTCATGATTATTTGGTGCACTGATATCTTCTGGTTTTCTCTTGATGATGTAGTAATGTTTAAGTACAGCTGATTGCTGTATTTGTTGTTTATCCTAACTGTTGTAGTTTTTTGAGGGCATGTGTGCGTGTTTTCTGATTATGTTACTTTTTTATTTTTCTTCTGTAGATCAAACTTCAGTCGGTTGAATTATAGTGGCTTTTATACAGCAATTTTGGAGAGGGGTGACGAAATAATATCTGCAGCATCCATCAGGTATAGTGCTTCAATAATTTTGAGGTCACGTGTTGCACATGCAGTTTAGACTAAATACTTACTTGGTGATAAGAAGGATTAATGACACATTCTCAATAGTAAATGTTGAAAAACATAATGATCAAATGTGGTTGCAGTATCTTTTAACACAGGCAACTGCCCTCTTGTCTTGCACTCATAAGGGGCAGTTAAATTAATATAGGTTTTTCTGGTTCATCATCTTTTAGCCACCATCTACTTTAAAAATTTGAGTTGTTAGAGATAGTGTAACCTAAGTATTTATACATGCCCCTTATGTGTATGTTAGATTTGGTGGTGAGATTCAAACATAGAGCTCTGATACTATGTTAAACTACCATCTACTAAGTTTAATCTGTTAGAGATGGTGTAACATAAATGTTTATACTACAACATCATCCAAGTTTTCTGTCAGTGTCTCCAAAAAGATTTTTTCTTCAATGATTTGGGAAACCGAGTGAGGTGCCTTGTAAGGTTTCTCCATACCTCCAAAAGTTAGGCCCTTTTGGTGGTGGTGGGTGTAAGCCATTGAGGTCCCTTCTTGGAATTTTTTCCTGGGGGGTGTAATTGAAATTAAAAAGCAAAAGATAATGCCATTAGCTCTTCCCCACATGTCTTCATTAGTTGTGTTCTAACAGGTAATCTTCTTTTGTATCATATCATGGATTTTCATTAGGGGACAAAAAGTATGTTATTGGCTTAAAATGGGTGTTGATTCTGAAACTTTTCTGTCTTAACTTAAACTTCAATGTTTAAGGAGAGTGACAGTCATTAGTAATCCATTTTTGAACATTAACTCGTTAGTTGGGATGTTTTTTATGTTTCTTGTGTCCATGCATGTGTGCTAATTAGTGCCCCTACTAATTTTAATCTCTATATTGTTCATCACCTGGTTAGGATCCATGGGACTCATCTAGCGGAGATGCCATTCATTGGGACCCGCAATGTATATAGACGCCAAGGGATGTGCCGTCGGCTATTGTGTGCTATTGAAATGGTATGCTGACAATATTTATTGATTGTTCTTGCCTCTTTAGATGAGAAAATGTGCACATTGTATTGTATCTTGTTTTCAGAAGGATTGTTATAAAATGAGCCCTTGAGAACTCTACCCTGTCTTTGGATGTATGATTACATACCAGGCTTTCCTGTCATATGTGTTCCTGCAGTTATTGCATATCTAGACACACATACTGGTTTGGTATTTTTACGTTGCTAGTTGCCATTGTCGAGTGTTAATTTGTTCATCAAATCCTGAAAAGTTTCCTTATTCTTGTTCTTTTTCCTGTTTCTTTGTTGACCCTGCTTTCTTACTCCCCATTGTTTTAGGCCAACGGTTTACTTCATGATGTTTCTGTTTTCAGGCCCTTGGGTTTCTCAAAGTTGAAAGATTGATTATTCCTGCTATTGCTGAACACATGCATACTTGGACTGTGGTTTTCGGTTTCCATCCTCTCGAGGAACCAGACAAACAAGAAATCAAGTCAATGAACATGTTGGTGTTTCCCGGCACAGATATGTTACAGAAGCGGCTAGTGAAACAAGAAGTCGCTGGAAACATAGTTGCCAACTCAGGTTTGTTTTTCTGAAGGCAACTTTTTATCCTGCCTTTGAGTTCATATCTGTTGTTAATTAACTTTTGAAGTTTTTCATTGTAGCTACAAAGACCATTGAATTGAAAGAAAATCTTCCGTTGCACGATATGATGAAAAAATCTGACATGGAATCCTCTGCCAGGCATGGTTGCCACAGACGTGATGATGCCGGGTTGCACCATTTAACTAATAACAATGACAGTAATGTAATGATTAGTTCCTTAGATGCTTCTTGTGAATCTAAACTTCAATTCTCTAGCAAGGAGACTATTTCCATCAGATCTCAGTCAGTGAACAAGCAATCCGAATCCACTGCTGACTTAAAGTGCATCTCTCCCTCCGGTACAAGTTCTGCCATTCTTGAGATGGAAACCCCTGGGTTAGATCCTCTGGTTAGAGATGATATTCAGTCTTCTGCAGAGGTTGTCATGGGTGATGCTCATGAAGCAAATGCCAAAGCTTCTTGTGTGGGACCTGTTGATTCTTTAGGCGGAACTTCTGCAAGGAGCACAGCTGAGGAGGCCAATGGAAACCAGAATCCTCTTTCTGGTTCTACTTTCTGTACTGCTGCTGAGAGTACCAAGCAATTTACCTTTGATTCGGATCATCAGGGTGCAGTTGAAATGGAAAGCAAGTTGCATAATATTCAGTCTTCTGTGGAGGGTCCTGAGGGTGGTGCTCGTGTAGTGAATGTGAAAGATGCTCGTGTTGAACCTATAACTAGATCTTTGTTAGAAATTTCTGGACAGAGTACTACAGAAAAAGTTAATGAAAAGCAAAATTCTGCTCATATGGAAAATGAATTACACGAGTCTTCAGAACTTGTTTCTGATGTTGAAGTTGCTTCTAATGCAAAACCTCGAATTGAATGTAACACCCAGTCTTCTGCTGTGAGTGATGTGGATGATGGTTGCAAAGGCCACATCAAAGAAGATTATATTGAACCAGCTCTTAACCCTGTAGAAGATATTTCTGCACAGAATACTACCGAAGAAATCAAAGAAAATGAGAATCCTGTTTCTGCCTCTAGTTTTTGTGGTACTGATGAAGCTACCATGACATCTAACTCTGATCTGAAACATCTTAGTCCAGTTGAAGTGGAAATTGAATTACCTGTAGCTTCAGAATTCGATGAGAAACAGAATCCTGTTTCTGTTCCTGCTTCTCATGCTGCTGTTGAGAGTGCCATGCAATTCAATGCTGATTTAGATTAGCAGGCTGTAGTGGGTGGTGAAAGCGAATTAGTAGTGGTTCATGAGGAAGTTGTCGCTACAGCTGAAAACAATATTGAGTCTAATGAAGATGGCGAGGTAGTTGACACTCATGAAGTAGGTGTGAAAGTTGCTTGCGTGGGACAGGTTCTCGATTCTTTTGGTGAAACTTCAGCAGAGAATACTACAGGGGAAACCAATGGGAATCTGACGGAATGTAGTAGTGTGTTCTGATGACAGCTCCCTACAGTGTGAAAGAGACATTCTTCATCAGTCTTGCGAAAATTGAGGTACTAAAACCTCTGTAGCATCTACTGGCTTATGCTTCTTTTTGAAATGATCTTGACACAGATAGCGAGGGTTCTGCTTCTGCTATGCAGTCAGCACCACTATAATACTGTGTATTAAAGGGCACTCCATTGTGATGCCATACGTGATTATTAGGAGGAAAACAAGAGCCTGCTCTACATCTATGTTCGATTTTCACGGTTCAGGTCCAAGCTGGTGCATCATGATTATCTGTTCTCTGCGCTTCCAAAAAGTTATGTGCCTTCAATGTCCCCGGGATGTTTTCAAAGTCTAAACAGAAATCGCCTGCCTTTTTAGCTTATCTCCAACTGTTGCCAACAATTTTGTGAATCATGGTGACTTTGTGTGTGAATACTTTCATACAGCTTCGCTTATGTACATATCTAGATTTGAGTTTTCTTCGTGAGTTTCATTTAGCATTTTGTAGTTCATCATTGAAATCATAGTTTAGTCATCATATATAATAGGTCAATGCCAGTGATTTGTGTGGCTATGTCATGCTTATTCTTTAGAGTCGGTTTTAATCTCTCTAATCATCAAATGTGGTTGTCGTGAACCCGATATTCTCAATGGTATCTTCTTTTTCTATTCTGAGTAATTACTTCAGCAGAATTCATCTTATGGTTTCTTTCAGTCGCTTTTATAACTTCAGGTTGCTGATATGGTAGATGCCCATTGTAGAAGTTTTCATGGTACAGGTTAACAGGGGAGAAAAAGAAGAAGAAAGTTCTTACATATATATGTGATTAGGATTTGATGTACAGTGGGTTTGTGTCCCTTATATCTATACTCCTTGTAAGAGAAATTAATTTTGAAGAAGAAAAGTGAATATAAATATATACTTTTAACAGATTTTTGTAGTAAGAATTTGTCCAAAAGATTGGCAAGTTGTCATTTAAGGTCATTATTCCTACATATATGTCCAAGATTTTCTCTATATTCTTATGTCCAAGATTTTCTCTATATACTTTTGACGTGGAAACATAATTTGTTTATATAATTTGTTGACCTAATACATCACCAACATTGAATTGGTAAAGGGGATATATATATATATACTTACAACACTAGTACTAGTGGAAGTGTGTGATTAGGGATAGGAGTCTGCTTTTTCATTTGCACCATTATGAAGATCAGAGATACAATATGAGAGAAGGGAAGGCTAGTGTATATTGGTTGTAATATGTTTTGCCGAAGCAAAAAAAACTTGGTTTGCTAATGAAAACTGGAGTCCTTATATAGGAGGAAGGAGCCTTCGGAGGAAAACTTGGAATGATTTCCCTTTGTTGTCGGTGGAAAAGTAAGAGTGAAATATCTTTTACTTAAGTAACTTTTGACTAATGCAGGTGTGGGTCCCTGTTGCTGGCTGAAGGAATTTACTTTCGGTGGGAAAAGCAAATTTGGACTTTGATAGATGGTTGTCTTATTGGAGAAAGAGCCTGACTTAACTATATGATATAATATCATTACAAGTGACATACATCTTTTCTCTCTTTTGAGAGTAGTGATTAAAGTTATCACATGTAAGGATAAAAATCATAGGGTAGTGATGTCGACTAGGTCATCATATCCTACAAATGGATCTTGACTATCTTGAAATGGATCTAAGGAGGGTGAGACGGAAGCCTAAGAGGATGCAGACGAATTGCTTTCACTAGCTGCTTGTTGAAGAAGTTTTTGTACCAACTCAATGAGTGCAATGAACTTCTTCTTGAATTGCTTACTAGAGTCCTTAGAGGATGATTTTTTCTGCTTTTGTGCTTCTGTAGTGGATTTCTTGAGCTCTTCAGGAGTCGAAATCCGGAGAAAAGACATAACTTGCTTAGTTGGAGTTAAGGTTACTAAAATTGCTACTGGGGTTGGAATCTTAACTGGGTCAATAATTGGTTCTTGTTGGAACTTGGGCCACCATTTAACATAGAATTGTTTGGCGACATTAAAACCAATAATTTCCCATTTTCATTTGCATATCCATGGGACTTTGTACCTGCAAATAAATGTTAGTAAAATAGGAAATTGACTCTCATGTTTACTAAGCTTATAAATAGAGGAGAAAGCTATAATCTGATCTTCAAGATCAAATGAGAAGATTTCATGAATGAGGTCATGAATAAACTACCACTGTGTGAACCAAGACGGGATCTGGCTCTTGAAATCTTTTATGAAACTGTAAGAACCAGGAATGATTTAAAAAACCATCCTGATAGAGAATAATTTTAAACCATGATTCTTTGTAATCATAATAATTAAATTTTCTATTATGATAAGGTAGATCTCTGAGTGAAGAAGGATGAGATCCCCAATCTTTGAGAGAAATAATCTTTAAAATATTTAAAGAGTGATAAATAATTTTGCTAGGGTCATTCTTATCAGCTATAAGCTTGATAAAATTGGATTGGGTAAAGAATAGAACATCCTGATAAAACTGGAAGGTCTTTTCAGGATTAGATGGAATAAAGGTTCACCTGGCTCAAGGTATTGATAAGGTCTATTGGGCCGCTTAGGTGAGCGTGGATTGTTCAATAGCAAATACATTTTGGGTATAGACTTTGATATAATCAACCTTTGGGCCTTTATGGGCTAACTGTGGTTGGTGAGAATATGGGTTAACAAGTTGACTAGAAGTGTCAAGTTTAGGTGGTGCATTTGAAGGAAAGTACTGGGGTTTATTAGAGTAGACTAGGCTACTGGTTTTACTGGGTTACCAAGGTGTTGGTAACTGTTAGCTATGACAATTGTTGTGTTTTGGCTAGACAATTGGCTGGGTTTTGGATTTGAGCTAGGTAAGGCTAATTGTTTTCTAGTATCCCTCCCCGCCTTGGAAGAGATACTAGGTTTATTGTTTTTCCTGTTCGCCATGAGGTTCCTGTAGAAAATCACGGGTTAGGAAATCAGGGATGCAGTTATTACTGTCTTTAATATATTCGATGTCAAAATCAAAAATACTTAAAATAGATTGTCATGGGACAAAAATTTGCTTACTAGCAATGTTTTGTACATCTTTTTCCAAAACAAATTTTGCTGATTTGCAATCAACTCTTACTAGGAATTTCTAATTTAGTATATCATCCTAGAATTTAGAGATACACAAGACAATAGCTAAAATTTCTTTTTTAATTGTGCTATAATTTGCTTCTACCTTATTCCAAACATCGGAGTGGAAACAAATAATTTGCTCTGGGGAGTCTGGAGTAAGTTTCTGAAGTAAGATACCACCGTAGTCAATGTCGAAGGTATCAGTTTGGATGCTTTTAAAGGAATCAACCGAAGGAATACCAAGGCAAGACAAAGTTTTAATGAACTGCTTGACTTGTTGGATTATAAATGTATGAACAGATGTCTAAGGAGAAGAATTTTCTTTGAGCCTGTCATACAGAAGTTTAACGATTTTTCTAATATCCTGATAGAAATCATAAACATAATTTAGGGAACCTAAAAACCTTTGTAACTGGGTTTTATCAGTGATTTTATTAGGGAACTTATCTATAAATTGGATAGAACGACTGATGGGAACAATGGTTGACTGTTGGATATTGTATCCAAGAAACCTTACTGAGGTTTGAAATAACTTGATCTTACTAGCAGAATGACAAGACCATTGTGTTTGACAATCTCTAAAAATGCATAAAAATGTTTCCAATGTTCTTCTATAGATCTGGAGAAGATGAGAATATCATCTATATAGACTATAGAAAAATAACTAATGGAATTAAATATTTCATTCATTATATTTTGAAATTCACTAGGTCCATTTTTCAATCCAAATGACATTACATTTCATTCATAATGACCAAAGGGAGTTGTGAATGCAGTTTTATACCTATGTTCTGGATAGATTTGGATTTGCCAGTAACCACTTTTCAAGTAAAATTTTGAAAAGATTACTGAGTTACTAAGTCTTTTGATTAAATCCTATTTGTTTGAAATTGGGTACCTGATCCATTATAATACAGAATTTAAAGGTTTATAGTTGATTACTAGTCTTAGTACGCCTCTTTCTAATTCTGCATTTTTGATGAAATAGAAAGTTGGGTATGACCAAGGAGATTTACTTTTCCTGATGATACCATTTTGAGTAATTCAGAAATATTTTTTTTGCAGATTTTCATTACTTCATGACTCATTTGGATAGGTCTGGATTTAGTAGGAATATTTTGTTGCTTAAATCCTTTAATGTAGGGAAGTTTAACCATGTGTTTCTTTCTATGCTAAAAAATTGTAGGAAGATTAGAACATACTTCTTCTTCCAGGTTTGTTTTAAACTAGTTAATCCTTTCAATTAAGATTGGATTAGTTAATTGTTCTTGCATTCTTTTGTAATTAATTTCTTCTTTAAGAAATTTCACTTGTTTAGTTTTTTGGTTAATCAGATTGAGATACTTAGAGATTGAATGATCTTTAAGTTGTCTTAATTTTTTAACTTCTGGTTTGGTTACAAACTTAAAAGTTATTGATTGACCAAGTGATTTCGTGATTACACCATTTGTGTCTGTTGTAAAAAGATACAACAAATATACAAAAGGTAAATCAAGAATAACATCATTAGTCATATCTTTTACTAAGATAAATGATGTTTTAAAACATATACTATCTTGACAGATATGCACACTCGGTAGTTTGTACTTAACTTTCATTTTACTACCATTTGCTGAACTAAGTCTTTCAATGATTTTTTGATAGTTCTTTAGTTGAGA